AGGTCCCTGTTGAGAGTTTACATGAACAGCTAACTGTCAGTCTGTTGCTTAATGACTTTTAAACTAGTGAAAATAATTAGGGACATTTTTCTTTTGAATTTAAGAAAAGTGAATTAAGATCACCCTTAAGTCACTTCTTCATTGCTTCATTTCAAAACCACTGTTGAAGCAATACACAGAAGCAAAGCTGTGTTCATGTCCAAATAGTTAGAAAGTAAGAAAGAGAAAGAAATGGAGGTTGACTCAAACTGGTTTGCAGTATGACTAAACTGGATCATTCCCACTTTTAAGAAATCTTACTGGAGTTCACAAATTCTCTGGACAAAAGTACAGTGATAATTTTAATTCAGCCCTTCAAAATAAACGTCTTCTTCTTGTCCTCCTTCTTTGTCAGCAAAGCCACAGTTTCTATGTTCACCACATCTTATCCCTAGCATCCTCTTCTCCCACACCAATTCTCTGCATGTCCTCCTTCACTATATCCATTAACTCCTTTTTAGATTTTCCTCTCTACCTCCTGCATTGCAGCTCCATATCCATCATCCTTTGTCCAGTATAGCCACTATCCCTCGTCTGCACATGCCTCTCTAATTTTGAGCTGTTCCTCTGATGTACTCATCTGTAATCTTGTGCATTCTGGTCATTTCCAGAATTGACAGGAAATAATCTCATGCTGTAAACTGTAGTTTGTGTGTTGCAAATTTGGTGCAACATTCTAATTTGGACATAGGTGTGAATGTGAGTGTCAACGGTTGTCTTTCTGTGCTAGACTACTGATCTCTCACAACACTCCATCCCAACTGGGATAGTCTCCAGCACTCCCAAGAATAAGTGGAAGAGAATGGATGGATGGATGAAGTGTTTAGAGCCCTCTCGCTGCATGTTTCTCTCGCTCTCCTTTCCCCCTCTCACGGTCTTCTGTTTGTTTGCAAAGGTACGGCCAAGGCGCAAAGGTGGTGCACTTCCTGGGCAAAGTGAAACCGTGGAACTACTCCTACGATCCTCAGAGCGGCGAGGTCAAAGGTCAGTCCTCACCTGACCCCTGCGTGCTGCACCCTGACTATCTGCTGATGTGGTGGCAGGTGTACACCAAATCTGTGCTGCCTTTACTGCAGAAGGCCTACGGAGACACTCCCTTCCTCAGCGGCTTTATAGAGCAGAACGATGAGGTATGTTAACGGTTTGTGGGTCTCGGGTGTGGCTGGTGGGAATGTGATGAAACATTAATGATTATGAATGTATGTGATTTTAGGTGTTGTAGCATGTTGCATAATCAGCATTTCCTGACTGTTTTGAAACTTCTAATTGCATAGCAACTCTTCTTTATATTGCACATATCTTTTAAGTGTGAAATTCCGTCATGTTGAGCAATTACCAAATCTTTAAATTGTTTCAATTTCTTGTAAAGCTGCATTTAAAACGCCAGGTTTAGTCATAATAGTGATAGTAAATAAGAGCTGATTGGTTCCACATTCCTCAGCACCAGACGATGTCTGTCGCTACTGATTTCGTCATTCCTCTCAGCAGTGCCACAACTGCATGAATAGCTTACTGTCATCAGTGAGCCGTGCTGGGACCTTCAACTGTTTAACACAGAATAGCAGGAAGTTGTCGTGCAGTCTGTAAGTCACAGCACTGTAGTGAAATAGCTCTGTCACAAAGGAACGCTGCCAAAAGCCAGTGGCTTTGCCCTGAAACTGTGCCATGTTGTCTCACACTTACATGTTTATACAGACAAGCAGGAGGAGAAAGGGAATTTTCCATTTGCTATGACTAACTTTTTAAGACTATAGTGGTGTAGTTCTTTAGATCTGGACTTGGATCTGTTTT